CTGCCGGGCGGGGCGCCTCTGGTTGGCTCTCGCCGCCGGGGCGGGCTCCGCCCGCGGGCGCGCATTTAAAGGGCCAGCGGCGCTCGTTTCAGCTTGGCGGCGCTCGGGGCTGCCCGGGTCCCTCCCGGCGGGGCGGATCCGGGGCATTCGAGGGGCACCTTCACGCCGGCTCCCGGCTGTGTGTGGGGCACCCACCACCCACAGGGTCCCTGGGATCACACGTATGATGAGTTTGTGACAGCCTCAGCCCTGGCACGGGGAAGGTTTGCGCTCGCTCACGGGGTCCCTGGAGCCTGTTGGGGACAGGGCCAGCCCAAGGCAGGGCTGCTGTCACCTCACCAAGCAGTTTCCTGCAGGAGCTCCCAGAATAAACCCACGGCCGTTGCCTGGCCCAAGGTTACGGCCACAGAGCAGCTCCCGCTGGCTCCGGGGCAGGGCGTGGGGCTGCCAGCGTCTCTGGCCTTCACTCTGCTGTGACGGTGATGAGAAGCTCAGGAAAAACCCAGCCCTTGAGCCCAAGGCTTTTTAAGGAAGGAGAGAGCAAGCAGAGCAGATGACCCATAGGAAAGATATCTGCAGCTCCGGGAGGGACCAGCCAGCACGGGGCCAAGGAGGAAAGTGCTGCACCCCTGGGTAGCAAAGGAGGGAGCGGTGCTGGGGTCCCTTTCTGCAGCTGCCTGTCCCTTTCCAGTATCTGTTCCCCCCGAACACCCTGAGCCAGGGCAGGAGCCAGGGCTGGGGACATGTCCGGACACACTCTGTCTTGGCCGATGCTCCTGGGTGCCAACCAGCTCTCTTGCAGCTGCAACACCGGCTGGGCCACTGGGATGGCAGATCCGTGTCTGTCTGTCTGTCTGTCCCCACCTGGGGTCTGTCCTGCTGGCTGGCTCTCTGCCAGCACCGTCCCCTCCCTGCCTGGCGGGTTTCGGCTGTGGGTTCCCTCACAGCGGGTGCCTGGATTCCCCAGCAGTGTGCACGCCCGTGCCCACGTGACGGAGCCAGGATGCTTTCAGCATTTATGGTAATGTTTGGATTTCTCATTGCTTTACCAAACGGGAGAAGGAAAAACAGAGCCGAGCCAAGGGCTGGGTGTGTTCCGCTCATTCCCTGCCTCCGGCCACACACCTGCCTCCCCCTCTCACTGCCTGCCCAGGCCCCTGCCGTGCTTGGGGCACCGTGTCCTGGTGGGCTCCCTGCTGCAGGGCAGGAGAGGGGCAGGGGCTGCAGGGTTTAGAGTTTGTGGCTCCATAGCAGGGCTTCTTTGTCATTGTTCTGTGCTCCGAGAGGCAGAGGGAAGCCTGTATCTGCTCTCCCCTGCTGTAAGGTGTCTGGCTCCGCGTGGTGCAGACCTGCTGGAGAGAGGTGCAGGGCTCAGGCACCCCGTCACGGGGTGAGAAGGGATGCAAGGGGCTGGGATCACCCAGGGGGTCGGTTCAGGCTGGAACACCGATTTGGCTGGAGAGGGGCTCCCAGTGGAGGGGCTGTGAGGCTGGGGTATAGGGAAGGAAAATGCCTCCCCGGCAGCTGGGCTGTGGCCAGGACCCCTCCTTGCAAGGAGGGTCCCCCCCAGCTGTCCCTGCACTTGCTGGAGGTCCGGGCATGATGCCACCATGCTCCCAGCTGTGCCTGTGGCAGCTGCCAGCAGCGGGACAGTATGGGCCCCACTTGTGAGCCTCCTCTGCTCATCAGCCTCTCAGTGCTCATTTGGCACAGGGTAGACTGGGCTCTACTGGGCTGCACTGGTGCTAACCAGAGCCACCACAGCCCACCCTGAGGGCGCAGGAGCCCGGGATGAGAGTCTCCCTGCCTGGAGACCCACTGCCGGGCAGGGGCTGCAAGGAGCACAGGCTGTACTGGCACCAAGCCCAGCCACAGGGCTGCTGCTGCATCACGCCTCTGAGCTGTCTTCCCGGTGCTGAGCTCACTGCAGCCGGGCAGCAGCCCCGCATTTCGGGGAAACAGAGCAGCCAGAAGAAGCAAGGTATAGGGCTGCCTCAGCCCTTGGAGCCACTGCGTCCTTGCAGCTTTTAGCTGGAAGCAGAGGGAGTGAGGGAGCAACTCTAGGGCCAGCTGTTGCCGTGCTTGAGGAGCTCGCTGCAGCCCAACGTGCTTGGGGAGGGTCAGGACTGTGTGCTCTGGGGTCCAGGCTGTGCAGAGCCCAGGGCTGGGCCAGCAGCACTGGGGCACCACAGCCTGAGCAGGTCCCAGCAAACTGACTGGGAACAGGCTGCGGGTGGCAGAGGAATGGGAAAAATGAGGCAGACAAAGGGCTGGGAGCACAGCCCGCAGCTGGAGAGCAGGGAGATGGTGCTGGGGACAACAATGGCCCCCTCCACAGGGGAAATGCAGCTGCCCCAGCATCTTCCCCTGCCTCCCCAGGCCCTTGCTGGCACATCCTGCCCTGCACTGCCCTGAGGCAGGAAGGGTGTTTTTGGGGTGTGGATCCCACTGGCATCACACCAGCACTCCCAGCACTCCTCCAGCTGGCCGTGCAGCTGGCACAAACCCCAGCGTTCCCTCACCTGCCGGCCCCCAGCCACGCAGCAGCCCCAGCACCTGGGAAAAGCCAGCCAGAACGGTCCTCCTGGGAGCTGCCAGCAGCCTTACCTTGGGTCCCCTTCAAGATGCCCTCACTGAGGGCTGGGCAGATGCCTCAGTATGGCGGTGGGGGCCTGCAGCCCAGTGCTCGCAGGCCAGGCTGGAACAATAGCTCATTTTGGTGCATCCGCTCCAGGGAAGTCCCCCGTCCCTACTTGGGCTCAGCTCCAGGATGGCGTGTCTTGCTTTTCCTCTGGCCTTTGCCTATCTTGGAGGTGCAGGTGATGGTATCTTCTACTGCACGCATCGCTGCTGGCAGGGAAGGACAGCCGGCATCCGCCCGGTGTGCTGCACGGCCGGGGCTGCCGGGGAGAGCCTGGGGAAGGCTCGGGAGCTGGAAGGTGCCTGCGTCCCCCAGTGTCACCTTCGCAGGCACCTTCCCTGCCTTAATTCCCCCTGCAGACTGGTGGAAGAGTAGGAGCATGAGGGCTGCCTGCGGTGTTTCTGGAGGGCTGTGTGGCTCCCCACAAAGGGAGCTGGGATATCTCTCTCCTGGAGCCCAGCCAGACGGCCCTGGGAAAGGCAAGTTCTCTTCCATGGGAAAGTCCTGCAAGGAGAAATCCCTGCTCAGCGCAGCCAGCCCCACAGTTCCCCTGGGCCCTTGTGCTCCAGCGTGTCCTCGATGCTGTGAGGCTGAGCAGGGTGCACGGCCAGTGGCACAGTGAGGCGGCATGGGGACTGCCTTCTCCCAGGCAGCCCTCACCTGCCCTCACCCCTACTCCATGTGCTCTTCAGCAGCGGGGAGCCCCTCCCAGGGCCCTCCAAAGGGATCCCCCACAGCCCATGGATTCGACAGGGGCTCCCCCAAAGCTGGGGCTGGCCTCGCCGCCTGCCTGGGGCTAATCTCTCATTATGCTTTCTTGCAGTTCCTCCTGATGAGCTGTCCCGGGGCAGCCCTGAGAGCCCTGCGGACAGAGCTGGGACAAAGACTTCACCGCACGGGACCACAGGCAAGCACAGGGGGTGATGCTGGGCTACCGCGTTGGCTTCTTCTCTCCTCCTTGGCAGTGGGGAGCACGCTGCTCAGCGACACCGCAGCGAGCCTGGAAAGCTGGGTGACGTGGAGCGCAGGGCAGGGGTGCTCATTCCCTCCGTTCCTCTGGGCACTCACAGCGCGAGAGCTGTGGCATTAGCAGGGGGTGACGAATGAGCGTGGCCAGGACCCCAGCCTGCGCCGCAGGGTTGCTGTGCGGGCGCTGGCGGCAGCTGCTGCTCCCGGGCGTCCCGCTGCCGGACCCCCACCGGCCGGGTGCATAATCCACCCCATTGTGTGGGCGAGTGCCCGGCCCCGGCCCATCTGGCGCCGAGACAATGGGGCCTTTTTCCGGCCGGCGCTGGGGGGAGATGAACTCGGAAGTCTTCCGAAGGAAAAAGCCGGTTTATAAATAGCCATCCCAAGGCTCTCAGCTTCCCCCCTTGCTGCCCCGTCAGCCCCCATCCCACCCATCCCCAAAGCCTGCTCTGCGCACTGGGGCGGCAGCGCACCGGGGCTGGGAGAGGACCTGGAGGACGTACGTGACCAGCCTGTCCCAGCTGCGTACACGCGAGCGAGAGGGCAGTACGTGGCTGTTTGTACGCTGTCCCGGGGCTGCACCTGCTCCGGGGCATGGGGACCCTGCACCCCAGGGATGCCGAGTGACAGACCAGCCCTGGATGGAGGGCTCCTCCTCGCCCGGCTCCCGGCCCCTCCTAAACAAAGGCCCTGTAGCCATGGTTAATAATCCCCACATAAAGGCCCTGCGGAAGAGCAGAGGAAGGAGAGGGGAGACACAAAGAAGCTGCCGGGAGCCCAGCCGAGGAAGGGGGGAGGCAGAAGGCGTTTTCCTGAGCTGCGAAGAGGGCTCCCAGTGGCGGACAGAGACAGGGTGGAGTTACCCAAAGGCGGCTTTGCCCTCCTGGCACATCTGGTACCCTATCCCTTGTGGTCTTCCAT